TATTTTTTTTCTCTTACAAGAATAAAGCTTTACAAGACGTGATGTAAATAACTGCTGACAACCAATTAACTCTACCGCTTCTTTCTTCGTTTTCACCGCGAGACATCCAAAAGACGCCTCTTTACGAACATCATGAAGATCATATTTAGCGGACACCGACTACAAATGGACAAAAACCAGACATAACATTCACTCGCATGATGAGCTATGAATAGTCCTAGTCCTCTTCTACCTCAGACAAAGGAAGTTCCTCCTACTTAGTAATTTCGGGGGGCGGGGGAACATATGCTCACAAAACAGAGTGAAATAATAAAGGACCCCGCTAACTAAGAAGGTGCATAGGCGCCAATCTAGTAGCAGCCCTTCCTTAGCATATAAGTCCGGAAGACAGAGAGTAGTCTTTAACAATTCTTGGAAATCTGGAGGAACATACGCGAATAGCCTTCGTGATCATCTTTCTCTTGCGAATTTCGAAGCCATCGAGATTTTTGAGGCAGTTTGCAGCGCCTTCCCTCGTCTTGAACTCAGCGATTGCATTCCCCTTGGGTTGTCCATTACGGTCTTCCAGCAACTCGACGAAAACGACCTAAACTTCTTTTCACACCTGTGTTGAACCGAAGATCAAGCAGTTTGTCCAGTTGGAACTCCAGAGAAAGCTACTGCGCTAAAATGACGTATTGCTTCGCGATAGTTCAGAGGACTCAGTTGATTCATGCTATATGATCGGATGTTATCTGATGTTAAGCAGTTCCATAATATAAGAAGGTACACTTCGCGCTAAGGAGACGGGAGTGAACGGCCGAGAAGATAGATGTCGCATTAAGAGTACGAGCGAAATTAGCATTACTGATCTCGCATTCAACTCAATCAAAAAATAATGCTCTAAAGATTTCAAGGTCCGCTTGAACACGAAAATAGTTCGAACCTCTCCACCATGTTCGCGAAGAACGTCCTTTAGCTCCGCCCAGCGAACTTCATATGCGAGATTGGTGATGAAGACCATGCGGTCGTTTGCACCACTGCGTCTGTCGCCATCACGTCCTCCTGAAGCTAATTAAAAACGCCATGATTGTAACGTCCACACCTTACTCCCGCTTTTAACACAAATGTAGTATGTAGAAAATCACAACCTTCTCCACGGACAAAATTCAAAAAAAGGAAGTTTCAGGAAAAAATCTGCGCTAGCACGGCATCACTCT